CCCCCCCCCCCCCACTCGCCCGCTGAGGTCCGGTTACAGAAGAAGCGAGGAAAGCAACGTGATGCGAGCACCCCCCCCCCCCCCACTAAGGCGAGAGCTGTCAGTCCATGCAGTGTGGGGGACCAGGACGCCAAGGATCGGGGGACACCCCCGTTGAACCACACTGACGATGATGAGGACATCTCCGCGGATCTCCTCGCAGACCCTCTCCAAGAGCTTTTTGGTATCGGTGACCAGAACAAGCACAACAAGCCCAGATCCACCCGGCATCGGACGCCTGTCAGAGCTTTTGCGAGCCCTCCCGCAGACTTGCTGCCACCGCCGCTGTCACAGGACATGGCAACAACTCGGGGAAGTACCCCAGAACCGTCCTCAAGTTCCCGCCCATGCTCCTTGGTGTCGGTCAACGCAACTGGTGAAGCCGTGGAAAAACCAACGGGGAAGGCACCCGCTGATGAGCCCGAATGGGTCCTCCCTCCTCGTGTGCGAACCCCCAAATCGCGTATTATTCGAGGTCCCACACCTATCGAAGCGGGGGCAGCCCCAGCAATACCAGCCGGTATACCAGAAGCTCCGACAGTGGCCACTACCACAGGGAGAACCTTTCTCGACTCTGAGCGCAACGACCTCAAGCCCGACTTCAACATGGACACGCATCCAGTACAGGAGGCCGGGTCAACATACACTGCGACCAAAGACGACAACTCGACCGACAACCTCGTTGAGACCTTCGACGCAGCCAACGCGCCCCAGGACAACAATGAACCTCCAACTGAAGGACAGCAAGAGCCAGATGTGTGGGCACTTCTGCAGCCCCTGCCGCCCGGATGGCACGCCAACAGCGTCTTTACACAGGGGCTTCACCCCTCCACCGATGTCTTCGAGGACCCGCAGAATGAGCGCTTCAACGCCCAGGTCATTGACACGGACAATGCATGCGACAAAGGGGAACCATCACCACACTTCGAGGTGGACTATGATGCTGAAGGCCCCTCAAGCCCTCCTCCTTCGGGGGACGAACAAGACGGTGGATTCGATGAGGACCAGGGGATGCCCCCTCAGGAATGCGAGAAAGGAGAGCCTCGTGGTGTGCCCGAACCGGTGGGTGAGCCACCGCCGCTCACAGCACAACAAAGAGCGCGTTTATACAGTATTCTCCAGGCGCGTGGCCCCGATGGCAGAACTCCGTATGGCCTAGACGAGTACACGGGGGACGCTGCAAAGTGGGCGGCATACCGACGTGCCATGAAAGCCAACTACAGAGCCTTTCGCAAACAAAAGAGGGCCGATGGTACCTGGGACAAAGATGATGGCAGGGGATGGGGCCCCTCACAACGCCAAGAGAGGCCGCGCGATGCCCCAAGACCCAGGGACAGGATGCCCTTACCTCGCCTACGTGACCGTGAACGCTCGCCATTGCCACGGAGAAGGGAAGCTTCATGAGCACCAGGGTGACGTCTGAAAGGCTGAAAGCACTTGTACAGAGGACCATCGGGGACCTTCCCCCCTTTTCTCAACCTAAGCTGAGTACTGACTTTTTGAAAGAGCACAAAGGCATGCATGGAGTGATTTCCGTTCGTTTCAGTACAACTTTTTCGATCCTCTCGACTCCATACCTCTCGGGGAGTATTCCCCCCTGGAATCATACATTCCACGTACACTATGACGGGCCGCGGGAGTTCGATTCCTCGCTGACCTTTCTCTCCTTTTCCTCCCTGCTGTGAAGGGGAGTAATCCCCCCGGGAACTTTCAGTTCCCTGTACAATAAGACGGGCCGCTGGAGCCTCCAGACGCAATTTCCACAGCCTCCGCTCGAGGCACAAATTAGTTGCCGAGTGCTCCAACTCTTTTGTGGTGGCTGGCAGGGGAATGCACCCTTTTTGGATAGTGTCTTGCCTTAGTGTCTGGTTGGTCTGGTGATAGTCTTCTGTTTGCATTGAACCGCAGCCTCATTCAACTTCGATCCATCACTCAGGTGCGGCATCAACCTTTTCGGTTCTTCTTTGGCTTAGGTCGGTTCCCTGATCTAGTGTAATTCTGTCGTGCGACTTGGATTGATGCCATTTTGCCTTCGTGTGATGTGCCCCTTCTCAATCGTGCAATATTTGCCTCGGTTGAGAGTGCTTTTCTCTCCACGCGCCCCGCACCTGTCGGGGGCGCTTGAAGCGCGCGGGCGAGGGGCAACCCTCGTCTGTAGCCCTGGCGAAAGAAAGAGAGTCTTGTGAAGCCTTCGTATGAAAGTAGATGAACCAGAGGGGGATCACTGTCTTCTTGCATCTGATACTCTTGCGATATTTCTCTGTAAATGTGGTCATACAAAGGGAAATTCGTGCAGGTGTCCAAAAGTGCGGGAGAACATATGTAGCCGCACATAGAGAGACGGAGAGACGGAGGGGGGATTGTACCTATGCCTGGGAGAAGAAGGGACTGGGATTTTGGTCGCTTGTTGCTCAAAGGATATACCGTCTGTGAAACAAACAAGTTATTGGAGGGAGGGAGGCAACAGGGAGGCAGGGAAGGAAATCCATGAGTCATGGTCAGTTCATCCGTCTAGGCCGCCCCGTTCACGGGTGCAGATGACCCGGGTTCTGTGAGCAGCCGCATTGCCACCAGCTTCACGAAGACGGCACGCCTCACTTGGAAGCCTTTCGGCGTTCCTGCCAGGCAGGGCTTGGGGTTGGATTGCACTTCAGCCCAAGGAGCCTTCCCGTAAATCGTGCAGGACATTGCGCTGGTTGCCACCAGAGTGCCAGTATACCCTCGTTGAGGTTGGCGTTGATTACTCCAAGAACTTTGCAACCATCCTGGACGGCTCTCCAATGGACGAAGAGATACGAGAAGCACAGATCAGCCGATTCAAGTTTTTCGAAGTGTTGCACCGGTATCACCACTACTTGGAAACCATTCCAACCTCATACCTTGCGCCATTCAGTCAAGCTTGGACAAATAACATCTTGCGGCTGGTTGGGCAAAGCTTGGGTGATCTTCCAGAGCCGAGCGATCTGATGGATGAGATGTGGCAGGAGGTTCTGCAGGAGTACCATGGTGCACTAAGAAAAGTGGTTGCCGAACATGCGCTGAGTGAGCAGCTTCGGCAAAGGACGGGAGTGCTGTTTGTGCCCAATCCAGTTCCCTTGTGGGGCACACGGCCCTTCATCGGCATTGAGGGTACAGCCGGTGGCCTGCCTAAGAACTGGGAAAGTATAGCAAAGGCCATCGCGGCAACAGATCTTCTCCCTTGTAGCCCTGCATCGCTCCGGCTCCTAGATCTCTGGTTTTGCAAGTACCACCACCTGCGCTTGGTGGATTTGCCCGAGCCTGGGAGCCTCTTGGACTTGCAGTCCTTTTGTCGAGCCCAGGCTCAGAAGATGCAGCATGTTCGAGAGCGTTTGGAAACAGAGTGGCTTCTGGAAGCAATGGAGATCTTGGAGCACAGCCAGGACACTTTCCCTTGCACCTTGCTGAGCATCCAGTTGCGGAGCGTGGTGGATCAGAGCATCGATGCTTTCGTGAGCTTCTTCGACCGTTTTGGCTGCCGAGAGAATGAGGCTTTCCTTTGGGTCGGGCTCGAAGCCGATGGCCCGGAGATCAAGTTTACAACTTCCTTAGAGGAGGTAGAGATTTGCCTGCTGCAAGTCTTCAAGAACTTTGTGGTGAGTCTGAACGACCTAAGGCTCCCGGCACGCTACAATGAGCAGAACTCTGTACAGCTTTGGAACGTTTCGCTTGAAGAGACTTATGTACAGCAGGCAGGGGAGAGGGTTGCACTGACGATGCGGAAGAATCTGGCGGCCCTCATTGAGGCACTGGCACCTTTTGATGCTTTTAAGCATCTTCTGGTCGAGGACGCGAGAATCAAGAAGCTCTCGGAGGACTCCTTAAGGTTTGAATAGACCTATAGAAGTAGATGCGTAGGTTCGGTTTCACAACCTTGAGCTATATTCGAGCCTGAGCTTCGACCTCCGTCGCTCTCTCCGGAGGACTCCTTGACGCAGGAGCACGTCATGAACGAGGTAAAGACTCTACGAGCAACTCAGGCGACTATCCGCGCACACAGCCTCGAGGAGATTTATTTGCCAATGGTGTCAATCCATTGCTCTGAGATCAACGAGACACTGTGTTGTAAAGCGGAGGACGCCATACATATCCTCATGGAGGCCGTTTTGCGAAACCTTTTGTCAAGGAACGAGCAACTTTGCAAAAGTTTCGAGATGGTCGTGAACCAAATGGTAAAAAAGCCGACAAGCGAGATGGAGCTAGTGGACCTGGAGATGTATGTGGAAGAATTTCGAGCTTCTGGACTCTTTGAGCTCTTGAAGGAGTTCGATAGTATCCGCGAGTGGCTGTCCTTCCTCTTCCGCTGCGAAAACGAGCTACTCCTCACTCTGCTGCAAGAGCGGCACTTCCAGGTCATTTATGACTCAGCCATCTGGGTAAGTTCCATCAACGAGAGAGTTTGCGAACGTGAGGTCAACTTGAAGCGCGAGCGCGAGGCTCTCGAAAGCAAATTCAAGGAGCAGCGGAACAAATTCTTGGAGGACCTGGAAGGATACAATGCGCAAGTGGAGCAGTTCAAGGACTGTGGAAATCTGCGGCAGGTCGACGAATATCTAGAGCGAATTCAAGCATTAAAAACAAACTTCAGCAAGGCCCATATTGAGGCTGAAAAGCTGAATGCGAAGGAGAGGCGTTTTGGCTGGGAAGTACGGAGTCCCTTCGAGCAGCTGAAGCGTGGCGAACAAGCCCTTGAGCCTTACCACTCGCTCTGGACTCTGGCGTACAACATGGATCGCAGTATGAGAGCTTGGCTCAAAGGCCCCCTTTTCAGTTTGGATCCTGCAAAGGTTGAAGTCGAAGTTCGGGGAATGAGAAAGGAGGCCGCGCGAATGCGAGAGGTGTTTCTTGCTGGCGGTGGCCGTGTCTACCCTGATGAGATGGCCTTAAACATTCAGTTGAAGACAGCTGATGACGAGGATCACAACGACCAGGTGCTTCCTATGCCGGTGCAGGTGGCTCAGCAGCTTAGTTCGCAAGCTGCTGTCATGCACGACAGTCACCTTAAGCTGCTCTATTCATTGTGCAACCGGTGCCTGCAAGCTCGTCACTGGGAGCAGATTTCCAACATCATCGGCTTTCCGCTGGAACCGGACAACAGCTTCACGCTGACCAAGGCTATTGAAATGGAGCTTGGCGACTACACGGAGGAGCTGCAAGAGTTGAGCGATGGCGCAACCAAGGAGCATGCGATAGAGCTCGGAATGGACACCATGGAGGAAGAATGGCGAGGTCTTCGGTTTGATCTTGAGCCCAGCAATGGAACCTTCGTTGTCTCGAAGAGATGCTTGGAGGAGCTGCAAGCTGTGGTGAAAGATCATCAGTCGCGAACCGGAGAGATGTTGAGATCATCGCATGTTCAGGCTCTCTTGCCAAGGCTACAGGATTGGGAGGAGTGGCTAGGCCGCATGTTCGGGATTTTGGAGCGTTTGGTCGTGCTGCAGACTTTGTGGAAACACTTGGAGCCGTTCTTTACCGGCAGAGACATCTACCGGCAGATGCCGGCCGAGATCCAAACATTCCGCAGAGTGGACAAATTCTGGCGGCAGTTGCTACAGGTCGTCTCACAGCAGTCACTGGCAGGAGATATCTCCCGGATACCGACCTTGACAGAGCAGCTACAAGATGCATGTACCAAGCTTGAAAACATCAAGCAAGGTTTGCAGGAAGATGCCCCGTGGGCATGCGCCCCCTCAGAATCATAGTTGCCTTGTAAGTTCGACGCTTAGACGGGCAAGTGTCGCAAGTCTCACCAGTCAGCTCAGACGAGCCCCTCCCTGTATTGGGAAAGCCAGGGCTTTCGGCGGTGACGCAAAAGGCTTCTGTGCAACTTGCAGAGGCTCTTGTGTTGAGTGCCGGGTTACAAGCACCATGTAGCTTGAAAGGTGATCAGCAGCATTGGCAGTATCGGTTTGCCACAAGCCGTGTCGGACTATTGAACTTGATGCCTTAGAAACTTTGCCTGTGCCCAGGGCGACCCCAGCATGACCTTCAGATCTTGCGGATCCGATGAGTTGGATTGGGGGGGGGGGCTTGGAATGTAATTAGAGTCAGAGATCGCGGGGCACTCCTCGCTTGCACGATGTGGGCAGACTCTGCCTGCCTTCAATTTCCAACCTGCATTCGCTATTGGCTAGCCGCTAGCACTGGCGAGACGCCCAGTGTCAGCAGCACCTGGCGGTTGAGGCAGCGGGCTTGTATAATTGTTACACTATGACCTGCGGGAGCACCAAAGGGGCGTCGGGAGGCATTTGCACGCGGAGCTTCTTCGGCATATCTCGCTGGCGGAAAACCAAGACCGTAAACCATCTGAGGATGGCATTACCAACTCCAGTTGCGAGGGCTTTCGACTAGAGGCCGGGCTTGCGAGGATCACACGGAGCTGGGGTTGTCTTCGGCTCATGTCTTGTCAAATGCCAGGGCTTCGATGGGCGACCGCCTGCGTTGGAATCTATGGACTGGCTTTGCAACTTGCAATGCTCATTCCGTTCCGGTGGTCGGCACACGCTCGTGTCGCTCGTGCTGCTTGTGCTTGAAAGGGTGGAGCTTGGCAGATCTTGGCAGGACCCCTTGCTTGACATTGGGATGACTGGCAACGCCAAAATGGCGAAGAAGGCGGTTTGTGCGGCAATCTTCCTTCCTGCGCCGAGAACAGGGCACATCACTCGCTTGAAAGTTGGCCTAAGCCCTAAGTCCTAAGTATTCACCACTTCAAAGACTCCGACATGCAGGCCCTTCGTGTGATGCTCCAGCGAATGACAGCAGCACAGGGCTTGAGCTTGACTGAGCTGCAAGTAGTCTTACCACCAACCCCCTGAGCTTCTGCCGTTCAGTGTTGAATGCAGCTTCGGTCGACGGCTTGTTGGCGATGTTCGTGCGACATCTTGATTCTTACCTGCCGTCGAGGAACACCGATGCTACATGATACTGGAAGCGGCAACAGCCGATACATGCACAGTCTTGTCGCAAATGAGAGAGCTTCCTCCTCCCAAAGCTCGAAGCGAGCAAACAACAAACAAGAGTTCGCAAAGCTGCGAGAGTGATGCTCGAGGGGCCTGGCTAGCCCCGTAAGCCTGGGAGAAGAAGGGCACGAGAGAGAGAGAGAAAGAGGGAGTGAAATTCACTCCTTTGGCTGCGCTGAAGAAGTGGAAGAATGTCGCGGTGCTCCCAGCCACAGTGAAGCGGACCGAGTTTGGGGTGGGGCCTGATTCAGATTCCAAGGCCGGCTGGTGAAGTGTTCGCTTCTAGCATAGCACGGCTTGCCTCATGGCGAAGCTTGTTATGTCAAGAGAGCTAGGATGCTTCGGAGAAATTGCCGGATGATTCTCGGCGCAGTTACGCACCTTATGCCATTTCAGCCAGAAAGCGTGTTGCTGTCACAGCTTCCGTGCGTGGAAATGCAGCACGTCCATCCGTGGACGCCTCGTGAGAAACAGTCTCCCTGTGAACGACTTTCTCTGGGGAGCGTTTCGTGCAAGTAATTCAGAATCGGAAGCTGCCAATGATGGTCTCTTCGGGACCCATGCTGTGGGTCTGGGTACGTCTCAGACTTGTTCACACCGCCAAGGCTGAAATGCTGGTGCATTTTTGGGATGTGCACCAGGAGCCGGTTGCCAGGTGCCCAGATCGTCGTTTTGTTCACGAGGCTCCTTGAACCATTGACGATGGATATGCGGGTTGCACAGGACATCGACGATGCCAGTTTGGACCACCAGCTGTGCACGACCGAGGCCCGAGAAAGCTTTCATTATTAGTTTTCCGAGTGCGTGGCGTCTTATCTACTAGTCCAGCAACTGGGGCGACATCCGCACGACAAAATCCTCATGCATAAGGTTGCCGAGCTGGTCGCCCACGAGGTAGTTCGTCAGCTTGCCGGACTGTCTGTCGCGCTCGACACTCGAAAATTCGTGTCAGAAAACCAGAAAAGCCTTAGAACCTTAGATTCGCTTCGAGGTGCAGGCGATCACCAGTGCCACAGAAGTGGCCGCAGCCTTTTCGATACACCTTTGAGGCTAAGCTGAGATCTTTGTTTGCTCCTAGGATCGGTAGCTCTGTTGGCCTCGGCTTCGACTGCGGCCGCTTGCCTTCTCGGTCAACAGGGGAAGCACAGGCCTCAATGTGCCCCTCACAGAGCAGACGGGAGAGGACGGGGACTTCTGTGCCAAGGAGGAAGTCCGAAGATCAACACAAGTCCACACGTTTGTTGGGTGCCAAGCACGGATGCGCCAGACCAGACTACTTCAGGGTGTGTGACTTGCGAATGCATTGGATTCATTGGATTGGCTCAAGGTTTCTTTTGCAGGATCCTTTCGCTGGATTGTGGAGGGGTAAGTCTTGTGAGAGTCTGGACATTCGAGCATTCAACATCGAGGACTGGGGACGTTCTGAACTCAACACTATGGACAAGCACATGCTTCTGAGCGAGAAGGCTTGGGCAGTCTTTTGGTATGGGTTGTTCCAAGATCTTTTCAGCTTGTTATGCAGACTACCCAGTTCAGACCTGCATTGGCGCAGCATGCTGTCAGGACCAGCATGACAGAGGTGAGTTCTGGAGATACTACATGGGAGGTGTTGTCACGTCCTCAGAAGGCCAAGAGAATCGCTTCCAGATTTTGGTTCTGCGTTCGCTCGTTTCTGATTCTCATTTGCTCCCGTCTGGGCCTGTGGTGGGTTCCATCCGGTCCCCCCGTCAAGCAAGACCCGAGAGGCGGGATTAAGGTTTGCAGTTGTTAGCATTCCAGCAAGCTCTGAGCACCTTGCTACGGGCGCGGGGATACGCAACACAGGGTTTTTTTGTTCTCTCTCTCTCTCTCTCTCTCTCCCCTCTCTCTTTTTTTCTGTCTCTCTCTGTCTTCCATCCTCCGAATTCTCTCGCTCCCTAGTAGTGTAATTATGTTATGTGTGTAGGCAGAGCCCTCGTGGTCGATGCTCTCTGTAGTGCCCGAAGGCTGTGGCCGCAGAGTAGGCCCTGACACTTGCATTCTCACCTGCGTTGAATTCCTTCACAAGCATGGTTCGTGTCTTCATGTGATGTTTTTTGATGTGTTCGCCTTGGATAACATTCTGACTTCGCCCTAATATCTGATCTTTCTGAAGTAGGTCGGAGCTTGTGTCTGTCAAGTCTCATGTTACGAAACTCTGAAGACAACGGCGGCATCGGAACCGTGCCATGGTGTCCTCAAGTGAAGACTTCCGTTGAGATGTGTCACCAGAACCGTGTCCTGCAGAGTACTACCATCGACACGCACCACTATTTACGGCGAGTCAGCATGGATCTGTGAAGACAGACCCTGCAGGGCCACCTCTCCACCAACTTCCTTCGTCTGAATACGACGCTGTCTGCGTGGCTGGGGCGAGCGCCAGAGAGCAGTTGCCTTTTACATGCGGCCATGGGCACAGACAACAGTCATATTCATAGTTCATAGCACTCCTGCTTCATGGTGATGGTGACGATGATGACGATGATTATCGATGATGTCTTGTTATCCTCTTTGTTTCGGAGCACCAGGCCGGCGGCCCCCATCCCTAAATCATTTCTTGTTCTTCACGGCTCCCACCATACTGGTCTTGTGGTTGATGGTCTTAGAGGCGGTTCTGGCTTCTTCTTCGCGAGTGGGCTGTCGTTCTGGTTTCACGCCGACTTCGCACCTTGAGACCTCGCCTGGCTTGTCCGAGTTGTGAGAGCGCAAAAGAAATGAATTTAACATAATATGTTTGATTGAAAACACCTGCATGCTTCATTTTCAGCATCGTTTCTTCCAAGTAAGGCCGCGGTGAACATATGCACGAGTTGGCGGTCACGGTCGACTCGACTTTGCTCCTACCTGCTGTAAGACAGGAGTCGCTTTACAGATTGAACTGTTCCACCTTCAACGGTGTTTCGCAGGGGTTCTTTCTTGGGCACCTCGCAAGTGCTTGTGAGCCAGATCGGACTAGGATGTAGAGCGAGCAGCACGCCACAAGGGGGGACAATCGGGGACGATGCAGACCGAAAGTTGCACATCTTGCTCCAACGCCGGAAGCCGCTTAAAAGTTGACGCGGACACACACTTAACGCATAAAGAGGAGAGTTTTGGTGCTCAGAGTGACGCGAGATTTGTTTTGGTATCTGCCAGCTTGGGCCAAGGATCGACTCGCGTGGGAAGCGGCAAGAGCTTACAAGCACAGGTTCAGCTGCACCACGAGGCTGCCCATTGCAACACGTATTCGGAAGGCAGTCTTTTGTGGATGTCGCTGTTCACTCAAGCCAAGCCCATTGCAACACTGTCTTGCACGCTTCCGCATGGGTGTCGCTGTGCACTCAAATCAAGCAATCTTCCATCGTTTCCTACCCCAGCTCTTTCTGCTGCTATGTAATTTCTCTCCTGCTTGTCAGGTGGTCGATCATCACTTTCAAGCTCTGCGACTTTGACTCAATGCCGCTGTCTAAGAACACCGCTCGTGTTGTGGCAGTTCCAGAGGAGCAAAGCTAGCTCCAGAGCACTTCTCTTCAAGTTGCTTCTTGGAGCGAGAAAAAGGTCGTACGCACTGGTCTAGCCCGACCGTTTTCATACATGCGGCCTCTGCAGATTGACCGACATTAGACAAGGCGCCCGGCAATCCTGTCGAAGGCCGCTCGTGATGTTAAAAGCAACCACAAACCAAAGTAATCCAAGTAATGGAAGGGGCACACAGAGGTCGTGTGTGTTGTGCTAGTGTCAGACGGGCGGCACTGGACTGGCCAGCTGTTCGCTACTCCGTGCCATCACGAAGCCGGCTAGCAGAAACCAGTCGAAGCCCGTAGCATCCTCTAGCCGCCCTAGCCTTCGCACAGCAGTTGGCGAAAGCCCGAGGCTGGGAAGTGCCCGGACACGCCTCAGATGCCCCACATCGCCAGGTCCGAGAACGATTTCATTGGCAGACTGACGGTGCCAGTCGAGGTCCAGCTTTGCCCACGCATGACGTCACAAGTCCAGGGCTTGTGAAATCTGACGAGCACCAGGAAACTCCAGAGACGACAGCAGATCTGAGCACAAAGGACGGCAACCATGCTAGAAGCCCAGTCGTCGTTCACTGTCAGCAGTCATGTGAGCAAGACATTGACAGCTGGAGGTGGTTGGAGATTATGGCTTCCGTGGCTCAGCGACTCTGACTTATGCGATAACCTGGAGGCTTCACGCTCCGTCAATGTTTCACGAGAGTCCAAGATGGAACGTTTTGATAGTCTGGAACGTCCAGGCCATATCCTCGTACATCAAGGCTGATCGGTTCGTGGAGAGTGCATCTCAAACGAGCTGCTTGTCCTCATATTGAGTGTGCGAATGTCCGCTTGAATTTGTCATTGGGTAGAGGGGAAGCAGCTTGAAGGAGGGGTTTGGGCTCCAGCTGGGAGCCCTCTGCAGCCTCAAACCACTCTGCAGCTTCGGGTTTGCCACGGAAGGTTTTTTCTTGGCTCGGTTGCATTCGATGCCGGCGAGAACTGCCCAACTCTGGAAACTAATTACGAAGCAAAAGGCAAAAAGCAGCAGCTGCCGTCCCGCATCTACTCGGAGAGCACACGCACAAATTGAGCGTTGGACCCGCCTCTGTGGCCATTTTACCGCATCGTGGCAGGATTCTTGAAACAGCACCACAGCTGAGGCGCAGCATCTCCCAAGACAGGACAAGATGCAGCTGAGGACTTCCGCAAAGATTCATGACAGCATGGACTGGACTGGGAAGGCTGTCCAGAGCACTGAAACCACTTGAAAACCAAGCGATGGGCGTTTGACTGATCATCATGCCCGTGAGTGAGTTGATGCATGTTGAGGTGTTGAGGCCCATAGGTCGTCGTCCGCTGCACACAGAAAAGGGATATCTTCTTGAAGGACAAGCTCCTTGCTCCCGCATATGCAGTACTGTCAGGCAGTCTTTGCATCTCTGCTTCATGGCCCTCATGGAATGCCATGGCGCCTGGCAAGCCCCGGGTCCAATTCCGGGTTATGGAGGGCGCGGAGGCGGGCTGAGGCTTCACGCTTGGGCGATTGCTGCGGAAGCACTCCTTTTCTGGCAGATAGGATATTAGGCAGGATAAAGACTCTTGGGGGTGAGGGAGCTGCACTGTCAGAATCAGACGCATGGAAATGGTGTCGCTTGCACGAAACTTGGTCACATGCAGATAGGACCCACGGCTCCTTTTTCAGTGTTTGCCAATCCTGCGCTTTGTCCACCTTTGTTTGCCCAACGCTTGCCCTGTCGACAGTCTGCATCTTCTCGCTTTGATGCTATGTAGATGAAAGACTTCTCTCTTGCAGTCTCGGACGTTGAACAGACCTGGTGGTCATTTGAGTTGTCCCTGGAGCGGGGCGCCAGGCGCCTATGCTGCAAAATCCAAGTGGAAGCCTCGTGATCGAAGCACCTCTGTGCCTGCACTGTCTACGGCAACAAACCTTTAAAGGATCATGGGACTCGGGCCTGTGTGGTGAGCGTAGTGCCCATGCCATTCGTGTTGTTCAGGCCCTGGGGCTTCGGGCTTTGCGGCGGGAGTTCGGGCAGTGCCTTGTCTGTTCCAGAAGTCCAAGCCAGCACAAGGGACTAAATTCCCTGAATCTGAGATCCGCGTGTTCGCATTTGTTCAAGCGTTGTCCCGATCCTGCTGTTACGCTGTGCCTTCAAGCAGAAGTCTACAGCACAACCTGCCCATTTTCCCCGCAACCCGTGCAACGATACTACGATACTCGAGTAGAGCTGTTCCATGCCCTTTTTGCATTTCGCTGCGCAAGGAAGCTTCTGCGCAAACTCGTTGACTTATGTTTGCAGCACCCCGATCAAAGTCACTTCGAACTTTTCCCAAAGTAAAGACTGAGGCGGCCCAAGCATGCACAATCGTGTTGTTTCGTGACTCTGAGGTATGGAGAACTGGTTTGTGCACTCCTGCGGGTCGATTCTGCTCGGCTGCCCATCCAAGTGGAGATCGAATTTGCCAGCTCCAAAGATACCCTCCGCGTCAAGAGCTGGACAGGCACCGCGGCAGAATGCACATCGATGATTTCTTGCTTATGATGGGCCACGCATGAATAGCTTGAATGTTGCATGCGTGCAACTAGGAATGTTCTTGTGCGAAAGCTTTGCTCAGGTGAAGGCAGCCACCTGCCTTTGTACAAGCCAGAAGGCCTCGTTGATGCCTTTCGCCGCGATGCGGACGCTTCATTTCTCTGCTACGCCGTCCCATGGCTCGAGTGTTTTCTCATGTGTACCAGCGGGAAGCGGAGCCGCTTTGAATTGGAGTTGCTCGCTACAGCGGCGTATCTAAAGGTGTCTATTGAGAGTCAACCGCAGCAAGCGACAGGATGACCCATGTAAGGACAACTTTGACAAGAAAGTGAACAGCTTCCGGGACTTGGCCCACTTCTCTCAGTACGTTACGGTTTCCTGGCAGTCCATCAGTCTAGAAGGAATTGGCATGCCATCGCGCAGGCTAATACCGTACGAGCAACATGTTTCACCAAGGACTGGTGCTCGGCAAGCCTGAAGACCTGTTCTCTGTGTTGGTCACCGACTCGAGGCCCGAAGGATCGCTGAGGCGATAGGCAGCTTTGCACGTGGCCCGTGCTTCTCTCAGGGGTCTTTGCTCAGATGGAGTGCTGCCAAAAGGCAGATCAAGAAAGGGTAATAAGTCACCTTGGTCGCATTCATGTATGGAGTGCGGAATTCTGAGAAACTCCGTTATCCCTTGACAAGCGCAAAGCTTCAGTGTTGGTGTTACTCTGTTGTCGGCCGAGGCAAGCTTATGACTGAGCTGTACGGCACCAAGAGGCTGTCGGTCTCATCCGTGACGGGTGGCGACTACCACGGCGTCAGCGTGACTTAGCGGCTAGTGCTCGCCGGTACTGGAAGCCGTAAGCCGTACTTGCATCTCCGTACATCTCCTTATCGATACAGCCAAGGAAAAATCGTACAGAGTGGACTGGTCTGTCGTGGCATCAGAAGCTGCAGTTGCTGGGATTGAGAGCCTTGGCGCAGCTGGTAAGCGAAAACGACCCTTGCTCGTCCCCTGCTACCATGTTGCAAGTCCCAGGCACCGCGAATCCGAAAAGCTCAAAAAGATCGAAAAGGCAGCCAGGAAAGCTGCCAGGCGACTTGCTGGATTTTCACGACAAGACAAGCCAGGCACCATTAGCGCCGCCCTTGCTGTCTAAGCTAGGGAGAAGAAGAAGTCCAAGAAGGACAAGAAAGACAAGAAGCATAAGAAAAAGAAGGCTTTCACTGAAGTGGCTCCAATGAGAGCCCCGGCCTTTCAATCAGAGCATCGACGTCAGGACAAGAAGAAGGACAAGAAAGCCAAGGTCTCTTCCAAGACCAAGCGCAAGTCTTCTGAGGAGATGCCGAAGGCGGCTCCCACTCCACCGCCGCCGGCACCTCCGCCGAAGGACATGCATTCGTGGTGGTAGCATGTGTTTCGGCATGTGCACGTTTGCATGTGTACATGTTTGTGCTGTTTGGCTTCGCTTCGAGAGCTTCCACCCCGTGGCTAGGAGGAAGAGGTAGACATTCCCGATGGTGCCAAGTTTGCTTGGGAAGATTCAAGTTCATCTTCAAAAAGCTCCTGCCCAGTGTCACGGCGAGCAAGCCAACCGAGACAATGTGCCGCAGCGCTTGGAATCAAATGCAGATGCAGGTGAAGCAACAAGAGAAGAAGCAGAAGACTGTCAAGGCACGAAATCTTGGGAAGATCCGCCAGCCAAAATGTTTAACACACACGCGGGTTGTACACGCGAACGATGCAGAGCGGTGTCTCTGTTGGGCCGTAGGCCCAGGGCCCAAATCCTTGCAGAGCTCTGAAATCCTTGCCCTTGATTTTCGTTGGCAGATGGTGCTGTGCAGGTCAAGCGAGTCGGGAAAGCGGAAAGAGACTAGTATAGGCTAGGCTCCACCTGCCCCACAGGTGTGAAGCCTGGAGTTCTTTTAGTGGGTTGCCTTGCAGTGGTTGAGCCACGACTCTTCAATTCCAAGGCCGCAGAGAGAGGTCTCACGGTCCTGCAGCGTTTGGAGTGCCAGGCAGCTGCAAAGATGGCTCTATTGACATCGGATGCATCGTCTTCAAGCTCATGCTGAGAGAGTGATGGAGTGCAGTGCGACTCGACGACGGCTCAGTTGACAAAAAAGGCTGCATGCTCTTTCCTGGAAAGTGGCAGCAAGAACTGCTCGGGAGACATTACCAAAAACAGACTTGCGAGCAGCAGCAACACGTCCCACCTGCAGTTCCCACCCCGCACCAGCGAGGACGACTTCGGACCCAATGTGCGAAATCACCGCTCCTCAGCAGCAAGCTGCAGCCTACAGGGCCTAAACTCGAAGATCTGAAAAGTACCGAGGCCTGTGCCGAGACCGCCACCGGGCTGCTGTGCCATCGCCAAGTCAGCAGTGTCAAGGTTCGGCCACGGCCTTGGCAAGTGCCACGGGGTCTTAGCTGCGGTGCCACTTTAGCACTCAGCTCCGCGATGCACCGGCATGTGCACTGCGACAGTCGCACCCGCTGCTGATACGTATATCATGGCCACAACCGGCAGACGTGCGATCATCGATTCCCTATGACCTTATACACACAGGACATTGCCAGCTGTTGTTCTTTCTCGTTTCATACCGTCAAGCAGAGGCACCACTCGCAAGCACGTAATGCGGATGTTGAAGAACGTCACTGAAACCTGAATTCTGTTGCGCACCCGCTGGCCGTGCCTGCCATGTCCCATGCACAACGTAGCAGCCGACTCAGGAACTTGGATCCAGAATGGGAGGAGTTTTTCGACTTGCCGATCGCAGCTGAGCCGGACAACCTGGAAGCCTGGAGCTTAATTAGGTCCTATTGTGTCCCGCAGGTCTTCAGTGAAGGGGACACAAGCCCAGCGTTCTTGCCGTCATGACTGCAAGAGTTTATTTATGGTAGTAGGTATCTCTGTTCTGTCTCGATGGTTTGTGCTGGATTCGATGGTTTCCAGGGGAGTGTGGGAAGCAAAGGGCAGGGGTTGCAGCCCGTGGCAGGCAGCGTTGGAGGCTGCAGCTGCCGGTCTGGCTTCGGGATCAGTGCGAAACTCAGTCAACCCAGAGGCATCACCTGGAGTCCCGGAGTTCGTTCCCCAGACTTCGGCAATTGCCACTGCAGGACTGCCAATACTTGCTTTGGGGCTGGGGCGATTTGAGTCAAGTGCAGCGGATGCGACTGGGGCCTGTTCACCCATTATCCTTTGTGCTGTGACTGGTTTTCCCTCCATCCAGTAACTGTAACCAGTATGCCAGTATGCCTTATGCTTCTGTACTTTGTACATGTCCGAGATGCCCTAAGAGTTTCCCGAAACGGGCAGGTTGTCGACATCTTCCCGTGCTTCTGCCACCCTTCGACAGCTGTCAACTCGTGGCAAGAGCTGGGAGTCACTCCGGCCAGGCCAGAAAAGATGCCACTCTGGCAGAAGGCCAGAGCATTCTTTGCATTGCGTTTTCAAGTCATCAGATTCTGGGATATAGTTTCGTCAGCAACGTCCCCATTTTCAAGGAGGGGCTCGTCCCCCGACTCTCTGGATCCAAGACTCCATCAAGGCGCGAAGCCCGGCAAAGAGCGCCCAAGCAGCGGATTGAGAAGCGGAGCGCAGGTGGTCGTCTTGGACAGAAGCGAATTCAGACACCGAAGCCTTGGAGAAAGGGATTGACAGCTGGAGGCACTCACAGCTAACGGGCGGTGTGTGACAAGTTCTTCCGCCATGATTTGAAGGTGGTGCTGACAATGCTGTGTCTCATGTCTCAAAGCAGGTCACGCTTGGACGTCGCAAGCGCAACTGTAGACGTGTGCTTCTGAGATCTCTAAGACTGCCGGTGTATCTTTCCGATTGTATCGTGTCCTGGGCTACGCATCTGCGCAAGCCGTAGGATCCAGGCTCGGCGAATCGCTCAGTTCTGCTTGTTGTTGTGTGAGTGTTGATATGCTGGGCTACGGGCTACTTTCTCCGGGCCTGGGGGTTATTGTTGCGCCAGAGGGCCAGTTATTTTCTTGAAATGGGCGAGGTTAGACTTTCTTCGACATGGTCGCAGCATGTGGGGACCAGCGAAGTAGTCGAGCAATCACATGTCACATCAGTGCACACACTGCATGTCAATTTGGACCAAATTCAGTTGCGCAGAAAGCTCGGGTGTTAGATTCGCATGCGGCTTGCATCAACAAGCCAGCAGTTCGTGTGCATCTTCTGGCTTCGCGGCTGTGTCACCAAGCAGGCTTGATCGGCTAGACTCAAAGTGCTCAGGTCACACCGAGCCAGCGATCGGCAGAGCCGATCGAGGAGCAACTTTCAGACTGTAGTGTGTCTACTGTCCATGTGCGATGGCTAAAAGCTTTTAGATTTGCCTTGACCCCTGTGTGGCACTTCAGGCGAGGGGACTCCCCTAGGCCCTAAGCTGAAGCGGAGCAGCGACATGCCCGAAAGGGGCGTTGCCCCAGCTGTGTGTCCGATAGGACTCCAAGTGTTGCATCCAGCAAGTCACAGCAAAAGGCGTTCAGGCATCTTGAGCATGGCCAGGAGGATACAATGCGGGCAGTGCAGCGTCAGGTTACGCTGGAAACTGCACAGACTATGCAGACCACACAGAAGCTTGACCGCAGCGTGCTGGGCGCATCCAAGGGACATGAATTTGTGGAATGGAGCCATGCCACTGCAACTAAGTACCCGGTAGCGGCGATGCCCCGTAGGATCGCAGTCGAGTGATTAGCCAGGACAGTCCCCGGAGTAGATCCCTTGTGGAAGACATCAGCTTGACTAAGTTCACCGGGTTCGGCGCGAATAAATAGCAACGCAAGGGCATACAGAGCAGCCACGCATACGTACACAAGCCATGAACTTGTCCCTTTCATCATGGCTTATCAATCTTCAGTAGCACCCCTGAAATAGTTGACGCTGTGTTTCAAGACGGTGCGACAGACACATGTTCGGGTGATGCCAAACGAAGGTAGACACCTGTCCAGGACCAGCATCGTTCCATCTGCGTTGACGGCACGTGTGCCACAAAAAGCCAGCCCTGAGAGACATGGGACCAGTTTCGGAAGAGGCGGGCAATTGCGGAAGCACAACTCAGCAAAACACAGATTGACGGCTCGAGAGTTCCGCATATCAGCATACTCTTGCTCCGGGGTGGCATCCAGAATTTCGGTGAAACACACGTGTGTGTGCAGGGACACATTCGGCGATCGACGCAAAAGCCGCAGCATCTGCGGCTTTGCGTCGACGCCCTCCGACTTCAGCACCCACCCTCTCCACCCTTGGCGTTTATCTATTTATTGAGATATGTGGGTCCTCGCTCGCTGGCGGGCGACGGGCCGAGAAGCAGAATGCGTCCCTCGGCGCCGTACAGCCTTGAACTGGCGAATGCGACGGACCCGGCGCGATGCGCTTCCTTCCACCATCCAAAGAGAAGGGTCCTGCTTCGTCGTACCGTTTTGGCCTTTTGTCGGGTGTTGAACTTGTCTATGTACCGCATTCATATGCATGGCGTGCTATGCCGGAAGGTTTTTCAATGGCTTCGGGGGGGCATTCAGGGTTGGGGTAGGCTGCGCCTCCCAGGCTGGAAGAAGAGGACAAGAAATGGGTGGCTCCTTGGTAGCAGATCAATGCAGCAGGACCGAATGACCGACTCGGACGATGAATGGTTCTCCAGGTCAGGATCATCTCGGAGGAGGAGCGTGAGCACTGCACTCATCATCACTCATCGGCTTCTAAGACGGCTTCGGCTGAATCTTGAGAGCTTGTCGCAACATCCAGCCCCTTCCAGTTCCTTCAAGGCGACACCAGTCTGGCCGGGTCATCGTGCCTCAGGCCGCATCCTTCTTGATCAACCTGTCCCATTGAAGCAGCTTGCGATTTGCCAGGCTTCAGATGATGACGTAGGTATGCTGGATACCCAGAGCCTATTTGTGCGTAGCCCGCAACATCCGCCCAGATTCAGCCGATTTTTTGCTTTTCGAGTGGGAGTGCCGCGAAGTGAAGCTATGCTTTGCCACAAGCCTTGACTCTGAGGGGAACTCGGCTCGAGGTGGTCCGGCCGAGTAGCTCACGACTTTCCGTCGATTTGAGACAATACATGCATCCAGACAGCTTCGTGATTCCTTGGCCAAGAGTCCAGCTCCACAGCCAAGCGACACATGCCGAAAAGCATGCCTTTGAGCTTGGCAGTCGCAGTACATGTTGGAGGTGGTACGGCGAAATGATGCCTGCAGCTACATCACTGTGGCAGTCTCAGCATGGAGCGTTTGTCGGGCAGCCAGGCAGCTGCAGTGCCTGAGGAATTGAAACCCGATGCATTGCACAGAGACGTGCGCGGCACCCGATCTTTCCATCCGCGACAGATGAGCACAATGCATTACACGTCCTGACCGGAAGCGACGCGGCGAAGCTTCGAAATGCTGAGGTTTGAAGCCCAAGACACTCAGCCAATGTGTTGGAGCTTCTCGAGTTGTGCCACGTGCTTGACGTGAGCACCCAGGCAGCAAAGGCCTCCACCGGTGTGTGAAACACTGCTAACCACCCCGGTCGAGATGCTGAGCCAGTTTGGTGGTCGGACTGTTTAGGCTGATGGTTTAGCAACCTGCCAAGGACAAGAAGTGAAGCCATCCTGGTTTTCAATTACGGAATATTCCCATGAAATTGGAAAGTGAAGCCAAGACCAAGAGCGAAGAAAGCGGAATACCAACAGCATGGCTTCAAGACTCTGCGGAGCTTTCCAATTTCGGATCACCTGGCCACAAGCGCCAAAGGACTCGGACATGAAAGGACCACCTTGAGCCGTGGAATGCCCTGGAACCCCAGGAGCCCCGGCAATGGCTCCTGCCGCTGCTGCTGTCAGATGTTTAGCTTAGGCTTAGACAGGGCTCCGTCTTTCCTGATCACCGCTCCACGTCTGCATTTTCTGCGTGTCCCCCTTCCACTGCAGCCTGCCTTGCTTTCCTGGAAATGGCGAAATGGTTAATTGGGCGTTATGCCACAACCCGCGATTAAACAGCCCAACCTGCACAAGAAGGAACAGCGTAGCAATGTGTAGCATGAGTGGCATTCTTAAAATGTATGAATTGCGTGTGGTGTTCGGCAAGGTATGGTGCGCCGCCGAAGCCACACCGGAACAACACATCGTTACTCACATAGTTCAGCTCCTCAGTTTTTCGGCCTTTCGGCCATAAGTAGAACACAGAAAATGCCGGTTCCAGCGTGAACTGTATTTGCCCGGCCTGATAAATGACTGATACATGTGTGCAAGCTTGGCAGCCTCTGCGCCCTATTGAAGCAGCTACCCGATGGCACGCACGCGACAGCACAAAGCCCCCAACGGTAGCTTTGGACTTGGGCCGTCATCAATGCTCTTGCCCCGCCACTGGGGTACTACCTCCAGTAACGCAAACGCGCCCTCATCTAAACACTGCTCGGAAGTGCACACACTTGCAGTTGGTCACTTGGGGTCGGGAGTTTGGGGTTGACCACCTCTGTCTTACTCACCTTGTTGGTGTTGGAATTCTGTCCATGACAAGGAGTAATTGTCCTTGGATGTTTTGATGATTTCCCAGTGCTGCAAATCATCACGATTTGAAAAGCCCTTGCCTAGAAGAAACAGCGCGGCCTCAAGGCTCGCTTGGATACAGAGGTTTGCAACCTCGCCATTGGCCCACGAAGCACACCTCTAGGAGCACCCCCTTCCGAAACTTGAGCCCCGCGGCTCCGCAGTTACCTTGCCGTAGAAACCCATCGTGCCCACACCCACAGCGGCTGGAATCATGGGGGGCGCAAGGAACGGATGAGCCAGGACTGGGAGCTAAACAAATCGAGCGACACCAACTGCTCCATAATGTCCGGGTGCCCGTCGAAACCATATCAACCACAACCCCCTGTACATAGGAAAGGACCAGCAGACACAGCTTAAAGAGGGCTTCTGCACGAGCACGTCATACCGCAGAATTGCTATGTCCTGTCACTTCCGGAGTGTGTCTGTAATTACCGCATTCGAGAGTGTGCATCCTACCTGTCGCACCTGCTGTGGCGAATTGCACGTCGATCCTGACATGGCTACGGCAATTCTGTTCAACCCCTTCTCATTGCTGTCCGTTAAGAGGCAACCAACCATCCAAGCCCGGACGGTTGCAGCGGTTGGTTCACACAATGATTCATAGAATTGCTTGCCTGCACTTTCATGGTAATCCTCATTTGTTCAACAATGTCTCAGTCTAGTCCGGTGCATTGCTTCGTTTTGCTTTTTCATGCAAGGGGATGTTCATCTTCACGACTCCCTGCAGATTCGAGTCTGCAAAGCAGAATCAGATCTGTTGACGATTGGAGCACGGAGTGCAGAAATCAGGATGTACTTGACTCACTTGACATTGGCTTTCGACTTGGTGCCTCAAGGCTAACCCCCAGCACGACACTCTGGATTCCCTGTCGACTTTGCTGGCTGTTTTTCTCGGCTCGAGCGTGCGCTAAACAAAGCACCACACTTGCCACGGCCTCGGCTTCCCACTCCTACGCCTATCGGTTCCTAACGCCCATCGCTGCGCACTCTGCCCAGCCACCATTTGTCCTCAGCTATCTTCGACGTCTAAGGTCTGCTTGGCTACAGCGCCATGCCAGGCTTTCCAGACTCAATTTGCTATTCAGTGCCTGGGTTCAACCAAGGTGCATCTCTGCAGGGGCTGGTGCACTTGGAGACTCCGATTTCTGACTCTTTTAGCCACCAACTGAAGCCACTAAGGAAAAGTATTCGGACCATCAATTTGAGTATCGCCACGTCCTTCTCCCGAAGGACCGTGACTGGATCGTTCAACATGATGCCAACCAGTCACGGGATTCTTTGATGGTTGCTCTCACCTGGTGCTATCTGCAACGCTCCGCCCACATGGCCGGATTATTGCGATGATTGGCCATGAAAATCCAGCATCTTGTGACACAGCTGCGGCATTGCCTTTTGATGTGAGGACGTGGCAGCGAGGCTCGTGCACCTAACGCAAGGTGGCCAGCGGCTTCTCGAGGTACTCTAGCCGTAGCGCTCACTGCGTGTGAGGGTGGAATTCCGTCGCTTGCGCTCCATCAAACCTCCATATGGAATCAGAATGGGGTGGTACACTTTGCTTTCTTGGATTGAAAGTCGGGCTGGCACATGCTTGTGTCCCAAGACTGTCTGTGTTTGCAGCAAAGGCGCACACATTCCTTACTTACTGCATCACGAGGAGCAAGAGTGGCGCAGTCTCGGGGTGCAAGGGAGCAGAGGACAGCTGATGCGACAGAGTGAACTTCCATGGAATCGAAGTGCGGCTGCCTGTCTTCAATATGTTGGAGGATGGGTTCACTATGAGTTTCACAAACCCGAGATGCACGACCTCCCGGCCAGATTGAAAGCAGGGGAGCAATGTGCATGAGGCATCTACACACACTGCTGTTTGCATCATAGCCGTCATAGCAAGTAGACCACCTCTTGCATTTTCTACACGGTTCTGACCATCTATGGCTTTTTGGCTAGGTGTTGCTGCTGCGACGACCATTGCCAACGCCAGGCCCGACTTTTGCCAGTCGCATCTTCGACGTCGGAACTTGACAGTACTCGCCGCTACGGATCGCAGGCATCCCGGCGACGGAGCCTGCGTAGCGCTGCAGCTTGGCTTCGCGCAGGCAGGAATGCGGAGTTTGCACTCGTCTCACTGTGTCTTGTGCGCAGTGTAATCATCATCTTGAGGGATGCTGCGGCAGGAACTGGCTATGTTTTTTACATTGCACTTCGTGCCAATTCCTCGAAGACGAGGCAGGGACCTTCTCAATGGAAACTTTGCGAAGGTGAGATGTGCGCGTAGGCGTAGGTCAATAACCTCAGATGCAACCGAGTGCCAGGGCTGGCCCCTGAATCATGCCGACATGATCTGGCAGTCTGGCACGCTGATGACTTTCCATACTGTTCAGACAAGGCCCAAACTTTCAGCATGATGAGGTTAAATTTGGCTGTCGAGCTTTTTGCTTGGCTGGGCCGCCGGTGGCAACTTCACTTTAGCAAGGCATACTGTACTTGTACGAAACGAGCCATCTTGAATTGCATTACGAAGTTGTACGTGTGTGGCACCATGTTCTGTTTTTTGATCGGGCTTTGGGTTTTGTACTAAGCCTTAAGCAGTCGAACAGTTTCTTCAGCGCAAGCATGCTCAAGCTGTACCTTGCAGAGGAAAATATTCAAAGCCCGAGCTTTCAGCATGGAGCAGTACGTGGCAAGTGACCACGCGGATGCTGCTTGTAGTTCTGGTAGTCTCTGAGACAATGACCATTCAGTCGAAGTGCTTCGGCTGCCGCTGCTGGCGGGAAAAGGTCCGAGATTCGGTTTTGAGTTGCATTCAAGTACTGTTCGAAATTCTCTTTGTACATGAACAAATTCGGAAGGTGTGGTATGGTAAATACATAGTCTATTTGTGCATATACGTTTATATGTGTGCTGTCTGTCTCTTTGTCTCTCTGTCTTTGTGTGGGTGTGGGTGGATGTTTGTTTGGCAGGCATGGATGCGTGCATGCATCCGTGCGTATGTGCGTGCGTGCATGCGAACAAAATGGGCCTGTAGGGATCTTAGACACTTACGTAGTTCCATTGAAAGGTTTGACCAAGTTACTGAATGCATAGTTAATGCACACATCTTCTACTTGTACATGTCAGCTTGTGCAGGGCTATGCGGTGGCCATATCGATTCCAGCTCAACCCTCTTGCGTGCGTGTGTCCGTGGTCTCCGCCCGCAGCCTAGACTCTTAGCCAGTAAGTAGCTCCTTCAATCCCCTGGACAATTGCATTACTTTGACCCCAACCCCGACACATCACTCGGCACCCTTCATATCTACTAGAGTGCACTTTGAATCCATTGAAACCCTAAACCCATAGCTGCCTTCAATTCAACAAGACTACTCAGTGCATCCAAAGATACTTTGAGAGCACGCTGAGACAAGGCGTTGAACGCTCACCTTGGGTCCCAGAATCAAGGGAACAAATGCTCGAAGGTCTAGTTCGGACTGAAAGGCTTGTAGATTCAAGGGTTGTGGGTACAATTTTGGACAAGCTCTGCAACCAGCACACAGCGGCTGGTCTACATGTGGGGATTGCAAATTCCACAGTGCATGGTAGAGCCTTCAACGCAAGATGATCATGCCGAACTAAATGCATGACATGATGCTAGCCTAGATTCGGACTTTGGGATTACAGAGCTTAGCGTGTAGTCTTTACGGTTTGACATGATAGCGTCGAGACTTTTGCATCCAATAGTCGTAGCAGTATCACTATGACAGTTGATGTAATGCCACTCATGAAACTGATGGCAATTTTCATGCCGCGGGAGTTGAGGCCGAGATATAGATACTGGGCTTCGCCTTCATGGGCACAGCAAAGGTTTCAATTCAGAGCGAGGACACATGGGGCTTCGAAGCTGCTGCTACAAAGGCTGAGCCTTTTCCTCCTCAAAAAGTCTCAAGCTTCGCA